AACCCAGACTGATGGACAGGGAGGCCGAGGGGTAGGGACCTGCCCAAGAGCTTAGGGGATAAGAGATCAGTTTGGCTAGGACTCTCATAAAAGACTCCATGCCATCAATCAGACAGATGAAGAATTACCTTTGAAGGAGCAGAATGAACCGGGAGCACAGACGAAAACGCATAAGGGCTTTTCAATCATCCAATACTAGAATTACTCATTGCGCAAATTTATCCAACAAATATTTATTGAGCATCTCCAATATGCCAGGTCTTTTTCTGTATGCTGAAGATTACAGGCAGGTGGGATGTCTACAGCTCTGCAAGAGTGAATCAATACACAAGATGGCATAACATGTAGTGCTTTATGGGTTTGCTAGGCCCAAAGCACTGTGCCTTTGGAACCCATGTTCTTCCATATGTATGAAATATATAATTAATTGCCTGATGAAGACTTTCCAACATTTTATAATTAATACACCGAAGCTCCAGGGCCCAGGACCCATAGTGACAGGGATGCTAGGAGAAGTGCACTAAGGCTGGAGCATAGAACAAGTGGAGAGCCAAGGAAGTGAGGCCTTGTCCCCTGCTTGGTCCATGACCATGACTGGCAGCCTGTGTGGGCCCCAGCATGCTCCCCTGTAAAATGAGGAGGTTGCACTGGATGAATTCCAAAGGCCAGTTCTAGATCTAGGATCCTAGGCAGGGCCAGGGCAGAGTCAAGCTGGACTCAGGCACAGCACACAGCAGCTATGGTCAACCTGAGAGCAGCACTAGCCAGGGCAGCCCCAGGGAGAGGCATGTGATACTGCAGGAGTAACTTGGCCATTTCCTGGGATTGACTGTCTCTCCAAGGGACATCAAAGGAATACGCCAGACTTGTGCTGCTTTCCAGTCTCCACACAACATGGGAGTGTGTTTCTACTGAGAGTGTACTGAGAGACCAACAGGCAGAGGCAACTCGGGTCTAAGCAGGCACATGGGGGTGGGAACTACCTGATGAACTGGTGGTGTCGGGGGGATGCTAAGGTGATTCTCCCAGAGTCAGGAAAAGAGCTGTAATTCACAGGAAGGGAGGACTGGTCTCCCTCTTCCAAGAAGGCCTGTGGGGCTCCCAGGCAGACTTTTGGCTGTAGGTGGAATATCAGGTGGGATTTATCATTTTAAATAATAACTGGCACATGACAGAGCACAGAACCGAAACTCAGATGGCCAAGTAGCTGAAAGTGTCTGTAAGAGAGAAGAAATGGGTTTGGATAAAGAGCGGGGGCGTCAGAAAGACATATGCGCGTACTTACAAAGTGAGTTCAGCGCACTCTACCACGTCCCCCACGTTACCCCCTGGTAATGCCAAACCTTGTAGCCTGTCTTCCTGCCTCAGATAGCATCACTCGCTCCAAGGCACAAATACCATCCACACTCTTCCATATTAGGCCATTCCTCAAACCCGACCCCCACTGTTGTGCAAAAGACGCATTCCCTACAAACAAGTGCTTTGAATTTCCTTGTTTATCGCCCGTTCACCTAACACATTTCTTTATTTGCCTTCCTCTGGGGGGCTTAGCGTTCTCAGCTTCCAGTTAAGGAGCGGTACCTGGACTGGGTTTTTACCTCCCCCCCTTCCTCAGTTCCTCCAATGGCTTCCTTATAGAGTTAGGTTAAAGGTGCTAAGCCAAGGTGTCCACAGCCTGGAGTGGAGCCAAAATTCACCCGATGATTCATTTGATTGTGACTCTTCCAGTGTGAGGCCAACTTACTGGGTTCCAAGAATCCTCAGCCAAAGGGCTTCTGCCCCCACAGCTGGCATTGGGTAAATGGAACCAACAGTCTCGATTTCACCTGAGGACCACTGTCCAAAGAGCTTCCAGTATTCTCTGAACTGTGAATGAATAAACAAGTTTTTTTTTTTTTTT